TGCATTAAGTCTTAATATATGCTGTATTTTCTGCCTATATTCAACGGTTGCTGTTGTTACTAATACTAATGAAAACTGCTGTTAATACAGTGTGTAGAGCGATAAACGTCTCCGGAACACTGCGCCACATCTCCATTTTATTAAATGCTAGTCCTTTTGTCAACAAGATCTTATGCGGTCCTCTGAGCGAGGCTCCAATAAAACAGGGTCAACGCGTTAAAATGTTCGAGAAACCCCAGCTCACCGTCTAATTATGGCCCCATTTGCACATCAGCGGTTTAAACAGCTTGAATTTATTTTATCCTCATCACATCTTGGACCTTAATACTCCCCTTTGATCTAATTTACCTCCATGGATACTACGTGTTAGTTTGACCACTAACAAAGTATTTTGCTGGACTCGCAAGTACTGTTTGCTATCTATTCAACCCACACTTCGCCTCCGTTTACCTGTTTACACACTTGCCATGCGCTTGTGGAAAACTGACGAGTTGGTATGTTGGGCACCCAGATCTTCTCAGTACGATTTCAACCCTTCTTTTTCCTCCATAATTCGGTTAGATCTTGCCTTCTTTTATCAACCGCTAGTGAAACAACCGTTAGATTCATAGCACTAAAAATTGCTAGTTAGCCAATTTCAACGTGCCTTAGACCTTTCTGCTTATCCAAGTACGTGTCCAACTCAAATTTCTAAGCAACGTCGTCTTATTACGTTAACATTCTGCATTCGCTTTGTTAGTATACAACTCAATCTTCCGGAATATCCTGCAACGTAACCACTCGTCACTAACGCCGTTACTAAAGTAGATTCCCAACGCATTTGTCAAAATATTTACTGTTGTTTGGCTTGTAGAAACGTAGACGAAAACGTCCCATACATTTGATCAAATTACTACAAGTTTTGTAAACAGGTATTCTACAACTCTTTGTAACAGCATCCAAATGTAGAGCTAAGTTTCACGTTTTCGCTTTCTTGCAAACTCAGGATAAAATGCTGAGTTTAAAATCCACTTATATTTGTTACATTTCTTCTCTTTCGAGGCGTTCTGGTACCCATATCTTCCAACTACCTATTGAGATGACTTTCATTAACAAACGATGCATTGTCGCAGGAAATAATCTTTTTACAACCGACAGCAGATTGAACGGAAACGCTTCGCAGATGATGAATGACACTTTGCGTACATATCGCCCTGAATGAAGTCCGCAATTTTTGTTCTGAGCAGCTTATGTGGAAACTGTCTTGCATACCTTACAAACCTTCACCCCGACAGCCTTCTTTTGTATTACTTGCGACTACTGTGTCGGGTTAGGTGAAACACTCAAGTGACCCTTTCATAAGATAGTAAGTGAGCATGAGAAAATTCCCAGAACGGATGAGCCGGAATAGTTAATGTCGTCTTCCCGAAAAGGGTCTCCTGGATTATTCTCACCGGCGATTGCAGACCATATCCGATAGGACGAGCCTGTTCCCTTGGTAGCTCTCGTGCATTCGTTCCCTCGCCTCAGACGGTTGACCACTGCAGCTAAAGACTGAAGGTCCAGCTCACTATGTTTAACTTTTATTTATTTACATATTCCATCTATTCGTTAACAAATGATAAAATACACTCCAGCTATTGCACCATAAAACGATAATTTGGCAATAAAAGTTAGATATTGAAAAACCACAATTCAAAGCAATAATATGTTATTATGCTACGTGTAAATATTATGCATTAGCAATAGGCTCGTGGATAATGAGTGAGGCTTTGTATAATGGAATTGGACAAAGAACTCACAATACAGTCGCTACCGTGCTCGACCGGTATGTCCAGCTAAGCGTTTTCATTATTTCAATCAACCTGAAGCTAGCCGAGAGGTTCCAGTCGAGGCCAATTTCCTCTTGATCAACTCATTGTTAGTCCTACTTTACTTTAATTTTACACAGACCCCGGTCGCAGAAACAACGCAAATCGCGTGAGCTGTTGTGTTAGCATGCTTAACACGTAGCATAGCTAACGGGTAGCCTTTCGTAAGGTATCTGGTACAGCTGTGTGACGATTTTGGTAGCGTAAAGTTTACCATCTCCAAGACAGTGTGATCCGGCTTCTGAGGAAGGAAGCATGCATTAAGAAACCTGCTTGTATGAAATGAATGAGTTAATGCAAAAGAAAGTCCCTGTTAGATCATCGGGAGATCTTTAACAAGCGAAAAATGCTGAATAACTGAATTTCCAACCTTTTAATGTGAACCATTTAACATCGTAGCTGGAATACTCCATATTTTTAACTTTTACTTGGATCAAATTAGTGACTCACTAAGCACAAATCTTCCCGAAGTCATTTTGTGGTCATCCGCTAATTGCCACCCAACCAACTTTGATGTCGCTGAATTAGAGTAGACTGTATAAAGTGGTTAGGATCACTAGGTTGTCCCTAAAGATATAGAGGAGACGAGACGCCAATACCCAAACTCTAGAAAACCGCATTACACAGGGATAAGATTAGAAACGGAATCACGAGCTTTCAGTTCCCAACAAGAGTAAAGTGACAGTAGCGCAATAGATTTCACCTAGCAATAGAGGGGTTTTCAACTTTCAGATCGGGATTGATGTGATTACAAACCGTAGCAAGTTTTGGCTTGAAAACAGTTTGAAAAGCTGCGCTTTACATTTCCTACGTTCCTTCCATAGACTATAAAATATAACGTGCTTGATCAAACTCACCACCGTCAGATGCTAGCTGGCAGCAAACTGAATATGCTTCGATGATTTTATTCTTATACCTGTGATTTTGAGCCCTATTTCAACAATAGGGCTCATGAATCTGAATTGCGTTCACTATTATTGGAGGCAATCAAAATCCCAAATATATATATATATGTATTTAAGTAAAAGCAAGAGATATACGCGGCAGGACTTAGCTACCTGAACCTACGGGCAAAAAGCAATTTACCTTGGTTTCTGCACTACACAGAGAAGGATGATAACTCCTTGATCCTTTACTTAACCCTGACATAGAAAAGCTTATTAGCGGTAAGAAATCATTCAGCAATCTAGTTACCACCTGCGAAATTTTGGTAATACCCAAAACACATAACGACTCAAGAAAATGATAGCTGTGTAGACCCTAAACTAGACATTCGTTTTAGGCTAAAGGAATTGTTGCCGGCTAAACCTATAAAAATATAATTTAATTCATTACAACGATACTAAATTTATTAAAATAATAAAACTGTGATACAATAAGAACTGCTTTCACTTTGAAGAAGAGAAACGTTAAATGCTGTTTAGGTTTACAAAAGGTAGTTATAAAAATGCGAAATTGACCTGTATGTGTCTAGTTGTTGTTCACTAGATGGATGACTCATTTAGTTTTAAGAAAAAAACAAAATGGTGGGACAGTTAATCGAACTTCACATAAATATTCGCCTTTTATCTGAGCCGGATTTGTTCGCTGGCAAGATTCGTCAATTATCCATTTGCTTATGTAGCATAAATTACTCCTAGTTTGTGTACTTTTTGCTTCCATCGCAATGAGGCTGGACCTTACCGTGGTGCGATGGTTTGCGTGCCTCAGCGATCCATTGAGCTATGCTGGGTGGTGCTTTTGCACCTTCAGAGTCACTCATACCAGATTGGTCAATGGTTAGAGGTCAGACAAACTCAGCCTCCTGGTCCTCCAGGTTGGGGGTTGGAATGAGGGTGGCACCTTATTCCTTAAAACGGACTCCTTGTAGTCCAACGCCAAACCCGCTGCCTTGCGGTCAGGTTTTTGAACCAAAGGCTTTGGTTGAGAACCCTAATCGTTCTCCTGTCTAGGCCTGGGCAACCTGACAGGATCCTGCCCACGCAATACAATGAATCACACTTCAAACAAATTGCTGATGCTCTGGCCACCGCAGAGTATAATCAACGGTGTCCTATCTGCTGCATCGAGCAGGGTGGATAGGGGTTTGGATGCTACTGCTCAAGCCTACCCGTCTTCTCATTCACGATCTTACGCTTTTTCACTCTTACCGTCCCCTTCCAACTTCACTTATATCCCCCCAGTTTTCAACCCCCCGATTCTTGGCCCTCCCCCAACATGCTTTGCTAGGCATTTATCTTCTAGTTTCAACTCACACGTGAACGCGGAGCGTCACTCCTCTCCTGTCGACAAGCCCATGTCCAACCAAGCGGTCCATTCCAGTTCTTCGGCTTCCATTTGGAGCCCTCGATTTTCCTTCAGATTGGCATGCCTTAACGTACGCACACTACTACAGATCGGTCAACAGGCAGCACTTGCCCGAACATTGGAGACCCTCTCGATCGATATCTGCTGCTTATCGGAGACCCGCCAGCAAGACTTGAGCTCTGTGCTCACTCTGCCATCCCCTTCAGGTGACGCAAACAGTATTTTCTCATTGTGATTATCCGGTGACGATGCAGCTTCGAGCACCGGCCAAGCTGGTGTTGGCATTGCTCTGAGTCCCCGGGCTGAAGCTGCTCTGGTTGATTGGATTCCAATCAGTAGCCGGATGTGTGCGGTCCAATTGGCTGGCTCCTCTAAAGCTTCGAAGTCGCGCGGGACTAATAGATGTTTATTCATCATCGCTGCCTACTCGCCCACAAACTGTAGCGATGATTCGGTAAAGAACAACTTCTACCGCCAACTGACTCAGCTCCTTCGCCACAGAAGAAGCACGGACACTGTTGTTCTGGCGGGGGATATGAACGCACAAGTTGGAAAGTTGTCCACTGATGAAATGCATCTGGCGGTCAACACGGTGTAGGCTCCCGTAATGAAAACGGTGAGCGGTTACTTCATTTGTGTGAAGATGCTCGTTTATTTCTTGCGAGCACTAATTTCCGACACAGCACCCGCCGAAGGGTGACTTGGCGCCCACCAACCTCGAACCAGCCTTGGACGCAGATCGATCACATTGCTATCAGTTACCGCTGGAGAGGCTGCATCCAGAATTGTCGCTAGATTTGGAGCACATGTGTGGACACTGATCATGCACTTGTATGTGCTGACATGCGGATGCGCTTTGGAGGACGCCCACGACGACGTTGTGAGCGCATTGACACCAGCCAACTGACAAAGCCAGCTGTTCTGAATGCGTATCGAAGTACGCTGACATGCGAGTTGAGTACTCGCTCACTGGAGACAATTGATGGTCACTGGTCACATGTTCGCCAGACCTTACTAGCAGCGGGCAAATCCTCATGTGGTATGTCTAAAAGCCCACATGGATATTGGGTCTCTTCTCGGTCTCTGGAACTTATCGACGCTCGCCGGCATATCCCGGCTGGAAGCGAACACAATGAAACTCGCAAAGAGCTCCGGGCAAAACTCCGTGCTAGCCTGAAGAGAGACCGCGAATCTTGGTGATCTCATCGTGCGTCAGAGATGGAAGTGGCCGCTGCTCTTGGCAACCATCGTAAGTTATTCCGTCTGATACGGGAAAAGGGCAGCAGGAGACCTGGTGTTAGTGAAACAATTTGTGATGAGAGTGGACAGCCTATCCACAATTTGTCAAAACGTCTGGAGCGTTGGGCTGAGCATTTTGAAAAGCAATTTAATCGGCTAGAATTGTCCGATGCGCCGGTCACTGATCGCCCTGCTCCGTGGGCTGTCCCTTTGGATCCACTCTCTCGCTCAGAAGTCGAACGTGAGCTCCGACTGTTGAAGTTGAACAAAGCCGCGGGATCAGATGATCTTCCTCCAGCCCTCTCCAAATTCGGAGGCCCTGCTCTTGTGGGTGCTTTGCACGAATTACTAGTGAAACTGTGGGAGCAGGAGACTGTCCCAACCGACTGGAGCCGCTCCGTTATTGTTCCCATCTTCAAAGGCGGCTCGCGCTCGGAATGCGGCAACCATAGAGGAATCAGTCTGATCTCCATCGCCTCCAAATTACTCGCCTCCATAATTCTTCACAGACTGACTGGCACTCGTGAAAGCCAGATTCGTGAAGAGCAAGCAGTGTTTCGTCGTGCTCGTGGCTGCATCGACCACATCTTCACTTTGCGTCAGTTGTTGGAGCACCGCCACACATATTGGCGGCCCACCGTAGTCGTGTTCCTTGACATCAAATCTGCCTTCGATTCGGTTGATCGATGTGCCCTTTGGAATTGTCTACTCAGGAAAGGTGTGCCCGAGAAATATGTAAATATTATCCAAGCATTATATGCGCGTAGCACGGGCAGAGTGAGGGCTTACGGTAAGCTGTCGCCACCCTTTAATATCTCCAGCGGTGTGAGACAAGGATGCCCGCTGTCACCTTTCCTCTTCAACTTCGCTATTGACGAAGTCATGGAGTTTGCATTTACAGGACATGACTTGGAAGGTGTGGAGCTACTCCCAGGAGAACGACTTCTTGACTTGGAGTATGCAGACGACATTGCCCTCATCTGTGACAGCTCCCAGACGTGCCAAGCCGCGCTAGACAGATTAGCACTGGCTGTCAGCCGCTTCGGGCTTTGCTTTGCACCATCGAAGTGCAAAGCGCTCCTCCTGCGCTGATCCTTGGTGGGGATCAGCTAGAAGTCGTTCAGAAATTCAACTACCTGGGAAGTTGTATCAGCGCACTTGGGATCGAAGACGAGATCACGAACCGTATAGCGAAAGCTCGAAGTGCTTTTGCTAACCTTCGCCACCTTTGGCGGCGGCGCGACATCACTCTCGCCCTGAAGGGTAGAGTGTACAATGCAGCGGTACGTTCGACCTTACTGTACGGTTGCGAAACCTGGCCCATAAGATCGGCGGACATGAAGAGGCTAGTTACGTTCGACCATCGGTGCCTTCGCAGTTTGGCTCACATATGGTGGGAACACCGCGTGAGTAACGAGCGTGTTCGACGCAGGAAAAGGATCTGAACCGCTCAGCACCGTTATTTCCCGCACCAGGCTCCGATGGCTAGGCCACGTGTTACGCATGCCAGCCCACCGACTCCCTCGACGTGCGTTGTTTGCTCACCGGGGATGTGGGTGGAAGAAGAGGAGAGGTGGCCAAGCGATGACTTGGTCCAGGGGAATGAAGTCTCTCACCTCGGAGCTAGCCTCGGTTGGAGCTTCACGGCTCCCTGGTTGGGGTCCAAAAGACGGTGTACACGTTTGGCTGGATACACTTGCTGACATGGCAAGGAGCCGACCTCAGTAGAGTTCACGCTGTGAGTTTCTTTGTCCCTCCCATCCCTTTTAGCCTCCCCATCCATCTACGATCTCATTTCCTAGGGTAAAACATAGTATTTTTTTCTTTTTGCCTAGTAGCTAGCTGGAAGCTTACCGGAACGATGCCTATCCGTTGCCGGTAGCTCAGCTGGCATGCAACTGTTGTATCTGCTTCTCCTTTGTGTATTGTATTGTATGTATGTATGTATGTATTTCCTTCATGTATTGCGACACAATAGCGGAGGTGTTTGTCCCACCTCTAGCTGATGTGTATAATGATGAATGATGATGATGTACTTTTTGCTTCTCACGTTTTCTTGAATTTGTAACGTTTACTTCATTATTTTTGTGTACTGAAACTATAAAGTTATCAGTTGCGACATGCAACATTTTGTCCTCAAAAATGGGTCGATGAAATAGTCAAAAGCCGGTTATTTATCTTCTGCTTTCTGGAGTATTTTATATACCGTATTTGAGGAGAGGTATACAAATGATCATAATATGGGTGAAATTATTAAACATCTTTACTACTATCATAGATGGGAATATCACCAACAGTAGCAGCCCACCCAACTGAGTCTGTTCTATACTAATTTCTCGGTACTAAGTAAAAGTATCGCAATCGGTAAATATTTCCATCATCAGATTTTGCAGATTGTCTACCTTAAAGTTGGCATCCACATAATGCAAAAAATATGCCAACGATTAAAACGCTTACATCATAGACTTGTATACCATAGCATATATAACCTAGAATTAGGGATAAAGAGTTGCGTAGATGACTATTTAAAGAACTGAGATGTGGAGATCTAATTGCTCCTTTCAGGTGAATTAGCATTTGACGTACAATGCTACGTTTCACTCCACGAAAGATTTTTTGTAATTTTGTAGAAAAATCATTTATCATGTGAAGCTTAAATAACTGTGGCTAAATATGTTTGCAATGGTGAAAGATAATCGTTCTGTGCTTAGAGTTTGTGAAATTAAACAAGTGGTCTTTCATGCAACCCTTTTTGAGATGGGGACATTTTCAGACCACAGCTGTAGCATAAATGCTGGCGCGGAATCCCTCCGGTTTGAGAAACGTTGTTCCACAAAAATTGGGGAACGAAATCAGCTACATTATCCTGTGTACGACGATGAGAGCGATTTGAAAGCTAGGAATCCCGAATGATGATTGCAATACTTAGTATTTATGCTCAAAACTAGTTAACGACAGTCTTATTAAACCAAATGGGTGAATTGTCAGTCTTTTACATCATTAACTCTAAATGTACTAAACTGGCACCAATGATTGAGGAACAATGGCAGAATGCCGACGATGCGTATGCTGCATAATTTAAGGCATTTATCGCCCCCAACTTATGAAATGAAGTGTGTTGTCCTTTTATACATCGTTGTATTTCATCACAAAATATTTTGCAAGTTAAGCTGAAATTATAAACAATCCTCTACTTCATTCTCCAAATTGTGCATGTAAGTGGTTTAATACATATTTACCTTATCCTTCCACCGAATGGTATATTGCCATATTCTCAACTTAGTGCAGACGTCCTCAATTTTTCGGCTGAGAAAAGACTATGACGAGCGGTGTGAAATGTGCGGTCTAATTTCTCTAACGACCTTGCTCATTGGCAGACAAACAGAAAACAGACAAGGTTTAAATTAGTTCATTCAAGACAGCGCTAACTATCAAGTCTGGAGAATTGCGAATGTAGCTCAATCCTTTTGTATGTGCAGATTACTTATTACTTGAAGTATCGTAGCAATGCTACATAATATTTCAAAGTACTTGCCTAATGTACTTGCTAAATTCTTTGTTCGTTTGCCAGGAACTATTTGTGCAACAATTTCTTGGCTGTTTGTGATGCACTAGAGCAAAACCCACAAATGTTTTGCAAGTAGCAACGCCTTTGGTTCAAATGAAAAAGAAGTTATTTGTAACCGATTCCAGCTAAAAACGACCAATAAAACCAACACGAGAATATTATTCACTTTTAAACTCTACAAGTCATTATATCAGATTATGACGGCATCGGTTGCGTGTTGTTAAGTGATTATGTGGTGATCTCTGATAACGAAATGAAAATCGCTTTGGGAATATAGCACAAGTCAGCAACCAAAAGGTTGTGGGAACAAGCTAGCAAAAAAACAAAGGGAATGAATTATTAAAAACTTCGAATCACTACAACCTTTAAATACAAGCTAAGCTGTTTAGTCTGCTAGTTGCACTGGTACCCCAAATAAATCCCTTGCTCTGGATGGGACGGCTGCTCCAGAACGGAATATAAAACACAATTTACAATATACTGGATCGAGCTTAAAGGGGGCACCAAAGGTTGTTTTACTATTCCTGTTACAGAGTGCTTGCCAAATATCCTGTGCCAACTATATTAAATGCCCATTGCCATCACTTTCTTACCGTTATATATGTTTATATATGAGCCATATTTAATTAAAAAACCGGAAGTAGAGTATTTGATTAATGCGCGCTGGTATGGTTGGGCATGATATATACCAATCTCTAAGTCACCATCAATATACTCATATTAATATATAGAGATGAAAGCAACTAAAGTTTCTACTCACTGCTACTTGTATTCCGTTAAAAAGGTGTCACTGAATATGCAGAACTAAGTAATAAAACCATCAGAGTAGGTAGGAAAGCGGCTGGTGGGTAATATTTTCGGTGAGGTACATAAGAGGTACATAAGAATTTAGTTAGCGCCCAAAAACAAAACTACACAGTTAGGCGAAAACCCGCGGTTAGCAAAACTGGAGGATAAACTTTCAAGTGATATAAAAGCTAATTCATAAAAAATATAAAATAATCTTTTAGCACGTACACTTTTGGTGTATAGAAATGTTATGTAAGTAGTAAATTTTTCATTGAGCAAGGGGAACTATTTCCGATCACTTCCACGGAAGAATGTTTACAAACATTTTGTTCTAGTGATAGATAAATAAAAAACCCAGGCTTGCCGTGTTTTGTGACAAATGACAATACTTAACAGCGCTTTTGTAGCGCAACAAATTTCCCAATAGTTCACATTTTAACTAAAAGCGATTGCTCATATATTACCTGTATGTCTTTAAGTGAAATTGTCAAAGAAGATATTCCAATAACTTCATCCTCCATATTCAACACCGTACGATAGTGCGAAGTGATAACAAAAGCATCACGAGTTGGAAACTGCAACAACGTGGTTGACATTAATTGCT